AATTAGATGAAGACAGATATTGAAGATTTCACATATTAATTCATATGAAGTTTACCCAGTTCTGAGCAAAGCAGCTGAAGACCCTTTTTGGCCTGCTTTCTGTTCAGAGCTGTCTCTTGTTCTTAGCTTGTACTTATTCACGGAGCTGGAATCACCTCTTCAGCCCCGGGAATGAGCTATCCTCCAGTTCTGCAAGGAGAGGAGCCTTCCCTACCTTTCCTCCTGAGGCCTCTGCTAGTTAACAGCAGGCAGCAAATACTGACGCCAGGCTCTCTCCACCCATGCCCATGATCCTCAGGGCAACCCTAGGAGATAGGTAGGAATGAAATCCTCATTTTATGGTGGAGGCACCTGAGGCTCAGAAGGATGGAGTTCCTTGCCCCAAGACTGGGGCCTGAACTCATGTGGTTCTTTCTTACTCCATTCTATACCCATTCTATGTGGCTTCCCAACATTGACATTACCATCTTTATCATCACTGCCACTGTGACCACTGCTTGTTGAGGCCCTACTCTTTGCTAGGCAGCGGGCTAAGCATTTAAATGCTTTGATTCACATAATCATCACAACCCTGCAAAGCAAGTAGGTGTATTTGTGCCCACAGTATATGAGAGAAAACTTAGTTTCAGGGAGGTTAAATAACTCACCTAAAGCCGCACCTCCAGAACTGTTAAACTCAGGATTTCAGCCTAAGACTTTGTGAAGCTGGAGCTTCTTTTTTTTCATTACCCTATTGTACCCTTTCAGATAGTATGTGACTTCTATGCATGTGTGATGCTGCATCAATAGTTTTGCCATACTCAGCACCAATTTCTCCAACTTCTCACTGGGAAATGCTAATCTCAAATTTAGGAATGGGCACATGACCAAGTATTATGAGGTAGAGCATATCATCCCCCAGCCACAGTGATTGGCAGAGCCAGGGCCAGCGGTCAGTGACTGGTGTACTGGGCTGGACCCCACACTCACAAGGTACCGTGTTTGACTCAATGCTCAGCTGCCACCATATTGAAATTCTTAATAATTTGAGAAAAAGGATGTCTTGCATTTTCATTTTGGACTGGGCTCTACAAGTTTTCTGGTTCTGGTGACTGATTTAGTGCTGGACAAATAAAACAACGCTCAGCATCAATGACACTCAATTCCAGGACTTTCTGGACTTTTTGAGAAAGTGGAGTTCTTTCTATTGAAGTGGTAAGCCTGGAGGTTCTGGGAGCCATCATGTGCTGAAAATCTGCCTAAGAATGAAACCTGAGAAAAGCAGAGCTGAGAGAATGAAAAAAAAAAAAAAAAAGATAGTGACTTGATTAAACCATCTGAGTCCTTGGGCCGAACACAGTTTTTATTATTTTACTTTTTGCCTAAGTCAATTTGGGCTGAGTGTTTGTGCAGCTTAAGAAGTTTGAATGAATACAGCAGAAGGCTGGGTTCTCCAGAGCAGACAGAGCCAGGGTTTAGGGTGCAGGATGTGTATGAAGGACCCACATCTGTGAAGGGAAGGGGGAGGTAGCGTGACTGCACAGCAGAAGCAAACTTCCTCCTGCCAATCTGGCAAAGCCTCAGCCAACCTGGTAGGTGTTCTGAACTGACTGCTGCCTGTCTGAAGTATCCTGTGTTGGGCCAGAGTGGCCCAGCTTCTATAGCCTGACTTGCTCAGTCTCTGGATGGGGCTGCCCCAGGAAGGGTATGGCCTTCAGTGAGGTAGCTCTCTGAAGCCCAGGCAGACCGTGAAGGAGCTGACTGCTGGAGGTTGTCTGCTGACCTTGCTCCCTGCAGCTGGGCAGCAAGTCCTTCTTTGAAATAATCACTAGGCAGCCCATCTTAACTTGAGCTCTTTAGAAAGCAGAAATCAAGACAAAAGCTTATATGTACTATTTTATTAGGGAGTACAATTGTAGGAAGACAGAAAATGGTGGATGGAGAGACAGAAAGCAAGGATGACCAATAAAAAGGTATTTTATAGAGCTGGCCTGTACTTGATGCCAAGCCTAACCGATGCTCCATCTCAGATCCTGTTCATGGACAGTCTAACCTGGAATGGGAAGGGAGAAGAGCATCAGCAGATGACCTTCTCTTTTGGATAGGAGATAACAGGCACTTAGGCACGCATAAAAGGTGCCAATTCTGAGTGCTAGGAATACCAAAATGTGTAATTTAAAATATCCTATCCTCACGTTCACCATCTAGTTGGGAAGAGGGAATACACAGCAAAAATTAAGAATGACAATATATTGAGTAGGCAATGGGCGCCAAAATGATGATGCCGATAATACATACTCATGGTACCTCTGAGAAGCAGCAGGTGATAGAAAAGGGCAGTCAGGAATGGTGTCTTCCTAGACGTGAGACTGGAGCTACATCTTAAGGTTAGGACTTCTGTAATTAGAGAGAAAAGGAGCAGAGTAGGGGAAGTAAAAATGCAAGTACACATCTTAGAGCAGCAAATGCATGTAGAGACTAAAGTTTTACTATAGCGTCAAAAAAGAAATGAAAGCATGGAGAAAAAGAGAATGGAGAAATAGGAGAAGAAAGGGTGGGGAGCTGGTGGGAATTGCTATTTTTTTTTTTTTTTTTTTTTTTTTTGAGAAGGAGTTTCACTCTTATTGGCCAGGTTGGAGTGCAATGGCATGATCTTGGCTCACTGCAACCTCCACCCCTTGGGTTCAAGCAATTCTCCTGCCTCAGCCTTCCGAGTAGCTGGGATTACAGGCGCCTGCCACCACGCCCAGCTAATTTTCTGTATTTTTAGTAGAGATGAGGTTTCACCATGTTGGCCAGGCTGGTCTTGAACTCCAGACCTTAGGTGATCCACCTGCCTCAGTCTCCCAAAGTGCTGCGATTACAGGCATAAGCCACCGCACTGGGCCAGGATTGCTGCTATTATATGTACAGAGCTAATATCAGTTTAGGACTGTAAGGTTAATTCATTTCAAAAAAGTGTCATCTTACCCATCCTCAAGATCAGTGGTGTTGAATTGCCAAGTGCAGGTTCTGTGTCTACACATTGCTGATGGAACTTTTTCTATGTAGATTTTGAAAGTGATTAAGTTCAATGAAGTTAGCAATGACCCCATATCTCTTTTCCTGGAAACATAAAACCCCTCTTTAAACAATTAAAACTCTATAATCTGCTGAGAATCTTTTATTTGGCATGTCAAGGTTTAGGGAAAGGAAGCATGTACAATTAGATACATACATTTCTTGCCAACTGCTAGACAACTGAAGAGATATTTCAATCACCTCCTGATTTGTTTCTCCATGTGTTTTCATATTTCACGAGTGTTCAAATGCAGTAATTATATTAAATAAAACATAAAAATAGGATCCTTAAAAATGTCATCTATTCAGGAAATGGGGAGTTACAGATTCCAGGTCTAGCCTTCTAGTCTCTGCCAGAAACTGCGCACCTGTGGGGTAAAAAAATCTCATTTTTTCTAGAAGTTGAAGTGCATGGAAAAGTTTCAGGGGAAAGGAAGATAATTTTAAAAATGATTTCTTTTCCTTTAAAGTACTCACTGTGGATGCTTACATAACTCTATTCTAAATGATCTTGCTAGTGTGGCTAGTTTATGCAGAAACTTTCCCATATTGACAGATAGTTTCAGGAAATCATGAAGATAGGAGTGATTTAAGGATATCTCAAATACGCATAGTGGTTGGTTGAGCATAAGGCTAAACATAGGGATTCTAAAGTCTACTTCTTAAAAATATTCAAACAAAGACTTGTTTTCGTTGTTGCAGAAGAAACAGATCATTAGGGCATTACTGCTATGTACTATTCAGAGCTGTAGAGGACACAGCCCTTCATTCTTCACGTCATCACTCTATTCACTGACAGTACCAGCACCTGGTTATTATTTGTTTATTATTTATTTAAGTGAACAAAGAAATAGCCTCAGTACTTTCAGGCAGTAGGGAAAGGCATTCCCTTCCTATTTTCATAAAGCCCCAAAAGCCTTCACCCTATATGAAGCTATCCAGTCCCAAGTTTGAAGAGCCCTCCGCCCCACCCAGTATGTCATCAGAGGCTGTGTCCTTGTTTTGTAAGCCACTTTCCTGATGCCAGGTCAGTATTATTATTCCCATTTTACACACTTTGCACAGCAGATACAGTTTCAAGTCCCAACAACTGAACTTCCCAAATTTTTATGTGATGGAACTTAACTCCAGTCATATGGGCATAAAAATATGCATGCCCACTAGGGCATTGTTAGATTTCAGAAAGAAATTTTCTTCACATTAAAATATGGTCTATAGTAGCCCAATTTTAAAAAAGAAAATACATTGTGTGTGGGCCTCTTTTGCATATTGAGATATGGAAGAATGTGAGCAGTCGCCAGATAATATAATTTTCATCCATCCAAATATCGAGCACAATTCAATGAAGAAAATGCAACTTTTGCCATGTGATTTATACATGCTTATATACCCTTCATTTTGAGTCTGTATGAAATGCAGAGATTTATGGTTCTATAACCAGAAGAATAAAATTTGAATGTGTAGTAAAACGAGAAATGTATTTTAAATGGGCTTTAGAAACAGAACTGAGGAAGTCATCAGGAGGCCACAGTCACTAATGTAATTGGTTATTTTGCTAGATGGCCACTCAGATAGAGGCCCGGCAGGCACAGGATTGAATTCAGGCTGATAGGCATGGGAGATGAAGTGATGACTTCCTGGAAAAGATTGAGATACCGCAACACAGTAATCCAGACCAGTCAGAAAGCATGCCATAAAGCCACTATGAGAAATTCCTCCTGCTCATGTGATGCGTCCTTATTTTTTTACTTTAAAAGAAGACTGATTTTATGATTTGGCACAGATCATTGATCATAGTTCTTTTCTATTGCAAATATCTCCCAGCTGTGTTCTGTGTCAAATTTACAAAAGATATAACCATTATTTCCACAAAATATTGGAAGATTGAGTGGCCATTTGCCTATCGGCACCCATCACTTTCAATATAACTCCTTCGGGAAGGCACTATAAAAGCCACTTACCAACCCCAAGTGATGCATGGTGAAGGGGATGCCTTAGTGTGATCCTGCTGCAGCAGGCAGCAGCTGGTGTTGTTGACTGGCCTGCAACTCTTCCCCCTTTTCCTGAAAGAACTCGGCATTCTAGTAGAAAATTTGCATCATGTGGGTCGAGTGGAGATAATCTAGTCTCTCTCCAATCCCTACCACAAGATGTCATGTGACACAAGCTGAGCCAATCAGAGAATCCCATCCTGGTGAAAGTCATTGGTACAAAGATAGACTTGTGATCCAAGCTGGACCAATCAGTCTCCTCCCCCAGAATTCTCCATGAGCACTTGGAGGGAAGATTGGCTCATTCCAACAGTGTTACTAAGCAGGGGGATATGGGCTGAGGGCTGCTCATATTATAATCTTCCTGCTTAGTAATATATAATTAAGATCTATCTCTATCTCCATCATCAATTTGCTCTCCTGGGTCTGTGGCTGAGATCCATGAGTCTTTTGTATTGCTTCTTCCTACCTTAAGAAGCATTTTTACTAACCATATAGGGAGAAACATTCTAAAGACTGAAGCCAAGCCAAGGCAGGATAAGCTCAGAGATAGAAATAAACCAATCATATTACCCAATTTGAGTTTCTGTATCCAGTCATGTCTGATTCCAGTAACAGACACTCTTCTTGGTTTTGTGACCTAATAAATTTACTTTTTTGCTTAATGTAGTTTGAGTTGGGTTTCTTCTATCACTGGTCATCAGAAAACATCCTAAATGCTCAAAGTTCATGTAGAGGCAAACTATGTTTTCCCATATTAACCAGGCTTCCTTGTAGCCTAGGTGGGGGCCATGTGACTAGTTCTTGCCAATAGACTCTGAGCAGAAGTAATCAAAAGCTGAGGCAGTTAAGGAGATGGTGCACCTCCTCCAGTCCTCTCTTTCTCTTTTGTAGGCATTTAGAGTTCATGTTTACCAGATAGTATGGCTAGATGATGGCAGAGCTGGAGTCAGCCTGGGCTACTCAGACTGTATAGAACAGAGCTCTCTGCCAACCTTTGCTCTTTTAAACTGTGAAGATTTCAGGACTAATCTGTTACACAAGCGTATTGGGGTTTGTGATAGAAATGAAGTTCAGCTACGGAAAAATTAAGATCTATCTCTATCTCTATCTCTATCTCTATCTCTATCTCTATCTCATCTATCTCTATCTCTATCTCATCTATCTCTATCTCTATCTCTATCTCTATTTCTATCTCTATCTCTATCTCTATCTCTATCTCTATCTCTATCTCTATCATCAATTTGCTTTCCTGAGTTTGTGGCTGAGATCCATGAGTCTTTTGTATTCCTTCTTCCTACCTTAAGAAGCAGATGTAGGTGGTATCAAAGAAGACATAAAAGAACCAAGAATAGGGAGACAATGAGGACAGGTGCTCTCCTTAGTAGTGTGCCTAAAGACAGTGGTAATGATCTCAGCTTCAAAGGAAACCAACGTTCAGAGTCTAACTGTGAGTCAAATACTTTACCTACATTATATCATTCCAACCTCACCAACAGACCATTAGATGACATTATTGTCAATGAAACTAAATTCCAAAGAGATTAAGTTGAGTCACAGATTCCTGACTAGAAAGGGCCAGCTTTGAGCCCTATCTGTTCAGCTGCTCAATCTAGCCCAAATTAGTTACATTATTACTATTAATAGTAGTATAAATATTACTTAGATTAATACTTTACAGATGCATTCAAAATGCCAGTCTTTTCCACCCATTCTCTATGACAGAGACAGAAAAAGCAAGATCCAGCCACGTCTGGTTTGAGTCCTTGAGTTCAATTACACACTAGGGCTTTAGGAGTGAAGTGGATGCTGGCCAGTCTCCTAATGCCACTATACCCTTGTCCTTGGATTCTTACACGCCTTGCCTGGCCGCTGTTGCAATGCACCAGTCTCTCTCTGCAACATCTAGTTCGGGACATTTTCCTTCTTAGCTTAATCAGTTTTGCTGTTGGGCACATAGCAAATTCAGATCCCATCATCTCTTTCTCCCTGTTTCTTATATTATCTCGGCTATCTCTCCTTGCCTTGACAAATGTCTTGAACTGTTGTTGGTTCCCACATCTAACTAATTTGCCAGCCAGCGTGCTCCCTGCATACTAACCTACAAATTCTCCAACCTAGACCCAATATTTTTTTCTGAATTTGTGAAAACTGCCCCATCATTCTTATCTCTTTGCAACATTAGCATTCAGCAAATACTTCCAAGTGATCACCTTCTGAGTTTCTAGTAAAACTAGACAGGATTGAGTTTTAATCCAAAAATAGGACTAAAATTTCAAATTTACAGTCATTTGGTGAAGGACATTATTCCTCCTTAAGACTTCTAACTTATCTTTAGGTTAGTAAGAGTCTCTTACTCCAAATCTCCGTGCAATTTATGCCAAATATAATGTGTATTGCTATCCAAAATGCCAAGTATGAAATTAAGTAGAAGTTGGTTATTACAGGATCCCCTAAATTAGACACCAAGCACAGGTGTATGCCTGATTGTTCGAAGGGGAGTCTGGGGGCTTACAATAATATGGAAACCAGGCAAAACTACCCACTGCTTCATTGCCATAAGTTAAAAACAAAACAAAGCCCTGTAGATGAAAATGTGACTTTCCCAAGTGGAAGTGTGAGGCAGAGACTGGGATTAATTCTCTGAATTGCCATGAAAATAATTCTAAGCAGTCAGGGCGTTCATGTAGTCACATCACACTTAAGTAATGTCATTGTGCTGTGGCACAATTAGGACTTTTTACGGGCTATCACTTAAATCAGTATTTGTTAAGTGCTCAGGCTGCAGATTATGAGCCCAATCTGGCCTTTCCCTGCTAGTGACTAAAATAATGAATAAAAAGCTCATTTGGTACATCTCTGAGAAGATCACATTGTCGTGAACTCCTCCGGAGACAGTGAATTCTATAAGCATTAATGGGTTTTATTCAACAAACATCCATTTCGTAGTCAGACAACTTTTGCTGCTGACACCTGCCAATTCATATTTTAAGAAGAAATCACAGAGCTTATAGAGTAGTCATTTTAAAAATGAATGTGGCTCATTATCTTTATTTATATCCTTCTACTGCTCCAAACTATCAATTCAGAAGGCCTCTGAAGTTTTTCATTTTGGAAAAAATACTATGTTTCTCATTTAAAATCAAACACTATACTTTGTCAGTTAACAATGGGTTGGTTTCTGCATTAGGTTCTCATTAATTTTATTGCCATTGGAATGTGGGTAGAGGCCCCAGCCATCTGGATCTAAGCAGGTATCTTAGGGTTGGAAGGTTTCTCCCGGGCTTGAATGGGGGAAGGAGATCTAATCTTTGGGATCCTAGTCCCTGGTGGCCTGCCACTCTAGCCATCATCCTTTGGGCAAACCATGGCCTCTCTTTAGACTTCCTGTTACCTCAGTTGTCAAACACTGTGTCAGCAAAAGAGTTTCTATAAGGTCTCTTCTTATCCTGAGATTTTGTAGCTTCTGAAACGATTCCCTTTCTTTAAGCAGATAGGATATCATTGTCCCCACTTTCTGCAAAGCTTTTTCTGATGTCTCTATCAGGCAAAGTTCTATCCAGCCTTCAAATTCCAGCTCAACAGTGCCTCTTTCATGCTCATTAGATTTAGGATGCCTTCTTCGAAGCTTATATTTTACTTTTTGCAGAGGTCATTCTTTATGTTATAATAAATACTGTGGTAGACAGAATAATGGCTCTCTAAAGATTTCAATGTTGTAATCCCCAGAACCTATGAATATGGTAACTTATAGAGCAAAAGGATGCTGTAGATGTGAGTAAGTTACGAAACTTGAGATGGGGAGATTGTCTCGGATTATTTGGGTGGGCCCAATGTGGTCACAAAGGTTTTTGTAAGAGAGAAGAAAGAGGTTCCATCATCACATCTGAAAAAGACGTGATGATGGAACCAAAGTGATATGGTTTGAAGATGGAGGAAGGGGTCAGGAATCAAGGAATGTAGGAACCCAGCTCTGTCAGCACCCTAATTTTAGACTTCCAACCTCTAGGAATGTAGAAGAGTAAGTCTGTGTTGCTTAAAGCCACTCAATTTGCAGTAATTTGTTACAGTAGCAATTGAACACCAATAGACACACTCTATTCTCACTATTTGTATGACTGCCCCCTTGCTAGCCAATGAACTTTTTGAGTGCAAAGAGTACAATTAAAAATATTCTCAGGCTGTGTGCAGTGGCTCATGCCTGTAATCCCAGCACTTTGGGAGGCCAAGGTGGGTGGATTACCTGTAGTCAGGAGTTCTAGACCAGCCTGACCAACATGGAGAAACCCTGTCTCTATGAAAAATACAAAATTAACCAGGCATGGTGATGCATGCCCATAATCCCAGCTACTTGGGAGGCTGAGGCAGGAGAATGGCTTGAACCAGGCAGTGGAGGCTGCGGTTAGCTGAGATTGTGCCATTGCACTTCAGTCTGGGCAACAAAGCAAGACTCCGTCTCAAAAAAAGAAAAGTTATCAGTTATCAGAGTGTCCTTGGCATATAGTAGATACTCAAAAGGTATTTGTTGAATGAATGGATGACTAAATAATTACATCTTGTTTTGCAAAGATAATATAAAAATGTAGGGAATAAAATGCCTTGCCCAAGACTTCACAATAATGGGAATGTTGCCCAAATGCAGTACTTTCTCTGGGATGTGGTATTTATTTTGACTAATTTAACTGCAATACCAACAATGGTTTCAGAACTGCTGTCGCCTTTGCTTCATATGAAACCATGCTACCTAATCTAGGCTCTTGGGTAGAGACTGGTTTTTATTTATTTATTTTAAATATGACTTTTGTGATTTTATAAGAACAAAACATTTAAGCATTGGCAGAGTGCGTTACATTATACAGTTTTACTTGGAGCTTTTTCAGTGATTCAATGTTAATGCGAAGTAGTCCAGATTTTGAGTAACAAAAATATTATGTGCACTTCATCTGTTTGTTTAAAATGGGCTCTCTAAACAAAACCTATACTTTGCTCAAAAACCAGTGCAAGTGGGTGTGAATGTGTGTATTTACATATGGCAGAATGGAAGGAGGATTGAGGAGGTGGTGGGGTTGGGGAGGGGTGGAAGGCAGACAAGTCCAATCCCTGGCCCCGCCCCTCCCAAACCCCTTCCGGAGTGAAG